CTGGTTTGAGCGCTCTTCTCTGCAACCTCCCGGCTCAGCTCCAGCGCGGTGACGGCAGGACCGACGCAACCTCACGCCCCTGGGCCCACAGCAGACACCCAGCCAGAAGACATCCCCGGAAGGGAAGCCCCGAACGCATCTCACGACCCGTTCTCTTGTACACCCGGCTTGTCCCTGCCGAGCAGACGGCAAAGTGAAGGCACGCGAGGGAAGGTTAAGGTCAGAGGTGCACTCGCTCGGACGGTTCCTTTCATGGAGTTCGGACGACACGTGTTGGCCACCCTGCCTGCGGCCACGGGACGGCAGAGCATGGAGGGACCGGCTCCCGGCGCGGCGACGCAGCTCCCCTCGGTGAGCGACCGCTCCGGGCAGAGCGTGCAGACCGTGGCAGCCGTCGGGGCGAGCTGGGCGAGCTGCGGTGGCCACGCGGAGATTTGTCCACCAGACACGGGCTGGGGCAAAGCGGTCACACGGGCCATAACCTCACCGGAGATGTGGAGCTGGATGGCTCTGCAGGCCATCAGCTATGCCCTGAGCAAAAAATGAACTCTAGATTTCTTTTCTCCCATGGGTTTCACTCAGACCCATTATAGACTGGGTCTCAGTATATTTTTTTTTTCCTGTTAAACACCTAAAAAAAAAAAAAATCTTCTTTGGCACTTGTGCGACAATGACAATAGGCGTGACAGTCTCCTGTCCTTTGGCTGCTTGCTGGACTCATCTCTACAGGTCCATGTATTCAGAGTCTGTGTCCATCCTCTGGGCCTCTCCAAACACGAGGAATGCGCAGAGACCAATGCTGTTAACAACAGCCACCAGGTTGAAAACCGAAATCCAGGAGCCGGTCGTTTCGATCAGGTAGCCAGCCAAGTACACGCAAACGACACCTGGGTCGGGAGGGAAGAGAAAGAAATGCAAAGGCTCTGGGGCTGGATCCTGCCCGCCCGCGAGGAGAGGACTCCCCAGAGAAGGCTGAGCTGCAGGAGGGTACCTTACCTAGGAGGGCTCCGCCGGTATTCCCAACACCTGTAAAGAAAAGAAAGAAATTGCACAGTCAAAGCCCGCGGATGTGATGGGGCCAGACTCTTTCCAGTGGTGCCCAGCGACAGGACAAGGGGCAACGGGCACAAACTGAAGCACAGGAAGTTCCAGCTGAACCCGAGGAAGAACTTCTTCCCTCTGAGGGTGACGGAGCCCTGGCCCAGGCTGCCCAGGGAGGCTGTGGAGTCTCCTTCTCGGGAGATTTCCCAGCCCCGCCTGGACGCGGTGCTGTGCAGCCTGCTCTGGGTGACCCTGCTTGGGCAGGGGGTTGGACTGGGTGACCCACAGAGGTCCTTTCCAACCCCGACCATGCTGGGATTCGGTGATTGGCTTCATCCAGGCTTCCACGCAATGATCTGCCTGCATGCTCAGCAAAGAGCTTTGCTGACGGCCGGGGCAGCTGACCCTCCACCTCACCCCAGCTCTCGGTGCAGGCAAGCATCTGGCAAACGGAGAGACGTGCTGGTGCGGTGACCTGCCCCCAGCCACGTGTCTCTGCCCCCGGTCTGTACGTCCCAGCGGGAAGCCGAGGCTGCACGTACGGAGCAGACATTGCACAGAACTACTCCTGCTCAGGGCTTGGTGCTGGCGACCGCGTCCCCTCCCGTACACCCCGCACGACCGCAACCCCGCAGGGGTCCTTACCGAACAGCAGGCCAGCGCACGAGGGGGCCAGATCCTGCACGTTTACTGAAATGCCACTAGTGAGACACAGAGAGGGGAAAATGGCTGTTTTAACAGAGCACGACAGCTTTCTCACCATTCACACAGTTTATTTTGTCAAAAGAAAGGAAGGGGTCCTCGACAGTAAATGGCACTGGCAGGGGGAAGGAGGAAAGAGGCTGAGAGCGAAGCAGCACAGGAGAGTACCAGGACAAAAAGGATTCAACTCGCAGCGCTCTGAGGGGCCAAAATGCAATTCCCCTCCTGCTCCATCTCCCCGACACCTGCCCAGCCCAGCACGCCCTCCTCTACGCCCAGCTCTTCCCCACACCAGGGGTTTGCTGGACCATTCCCAACCCAGCGGGCACCCAACTCCGCCGGCCCTGCGGGGACCGATGCACGATGCTCACACAAGCGCCGGCTCTTGCTCTGACAGTCACGACAGATGCAGCCTCCCCCGAGCCCCCGAAATGCCAAGGGTGGGACGAGAGCTCAGGGCCCCAGCTACTGCCGTTCCCATGCTCCTCACCTGTGGTTAAAGGTCTGAAGGCCAACAGAGGCGGAGGCGAACACTATCGCTTTGCAAAAACTGGATGTCTGGCCCAGGCACAAAGCAAAAAGGCTTGAGACACCGGAGCCAACGACCTGGAAGAAATGGAAAATTAAACACCACAGCAGATTTTCTGTCAGGAAGAAAGCAACGCTTTTCACAGACAAACTGTTCCCTCTTCCAGCGGCAAGAGCTGGTATGCACCAGGTGCTTCTCAAGCCTTTTTTTTTTCCCCTAGTGTCCTGCCTTCCTGTGTCAGAGGTCTGTCTGGAGGGACGTGACGCTGCGGAGCAGAAAGCATATGCTGTGCTCTCACCTGGCATTTCTAATTCTGCTCATCTTTGCACTGCTATTCCCCAGTATCTAACGCGTCATTTGGAGTGACAGCGTATGGTTGGCCTTGGCCAGTGAAAGAAAAACCTCTTCAGAAGACTCACGAACCTCTGTGCTCAAGGCTACCTTTGGTCCATGCTCTGTTCCTCCGTCAGGGCTTTCCTCTGGATTTCATTTCCCCATCCGCACTGACCACCAGTCCATCGGCAAAGCCAGCAAACCTTTCCTCTTTCCATCTATAGCCATCAACCCAGCTCCCCAAGAGTAAGCAGAGGTCAGCAGGCAACTCGGGTGCCTCTCCTGCGCTTTCAGCTCTCTTACCTGCATGAACTTGCGAATGGTGATGGTTTTGTACCCTGGAAGAGAAAGGGAGAGTCGCAGTTAGGCACAGCTCACCAGGTCTCCTTGCTCTGCAGCTACGAGACCACAGGGTCAGCAGATTTCAGATGGCCGGATTTCAGATGGCCAGATTTCATCTCCCAGTGGAGACTGTGACTGAGATCAAAGGGAGCTCCAAACACGTGGATGGGATTTGGACCCTGGAGCATTTATTCTGCTTTCATATCAGAGCCTCACGTTGCCTCTTTGCTGGGTCTTCTCCCTACCAACAAGCCCATCCCCTCCACCCAGGTCCTCCTTCCACATCACATAAAGTAAGAGCTGAGGAAAAGGCAGAAGAGCTCTTACCCTGGTTGATTAAATGATCAGACAGAAATCCACTGAACAAGCTTGTTGGAATTGCAACCAGCCAGGGGACTACGTTAAACACCCAACCCTGAAAGGAAGCAAAAATCAAGAGGGGTTTGCTGTCAGAGCTGGGTTTGTTTGCAAATATTTTATTTGATAGTCTGTGATAACTGTAGAAAGGAAAAAACAATGGGGTGATCAGAACTTCTTGCAGGATCTCAGCTACACCTGCACCGCTCCAAAGCCTGCACGGCGGCAGGCGCACCACGGGGCCGCGGCATTTGTAGGTTGGTTGTCTCCCCGTCTGCGCCGGTGACCCAGCAGCCAGGCGGGAGGCAGAAAGCTCTGTCTGCACCGGGGAAGAGGGATTCAACGTGGCAAAGTTTACTGTTCAGCCAGGTGATGTGGCAGAGAGCCACAGAGCCCTGGAAAGCAAGCTGCAGGTTTTACTCTGCCCTGTGGGTCACCAGTAAAGCCGCCGGCAAAATTTCCGGAATCAGCTTCCACCTCATTAGCAGCGTTACTGTGAAGCTGAGGGAACATAGCTGGATCTTCTAATGCCAGGATTAGGGAACATTACGGGTAGCAACATGTTTCGGCCTATTTTCAATTAAGCGAGCTTGCTGCAGTTGTAATCACAGATGATTACCGGTCATCTGGATTACAGCTGCTTAGAGGCGTTTTGGTGCCCAGATCCCACAAGAAGCTGAAATCAGTGTCAGGTTGGGCTGAGCTTCGTCTCAGCTGGTTGAACCTTCCCATCCATCCACCGTTGCCTGCATCCCCCCCTTCACTCAGAGCCCGTCACCCTGTGGAGGCACCTCTCCCTTCCTCGCCTGGCTTCGGGAGGCATGGGAGGGCTGGGTAATCTTGGGTTTGAATAACCCGGGTTCAGCTGCTCCTAGAAATCGTACTGGGGTCCACCTTCATCCTTCAGCACCTTTGAAATTTTGGGTCTTGGTCACTTTCGAAAACGTTCCCCCAATGGGCTTGTGGGGTGGTATCTCTGGTGGCCGTTACCACCAGCCAGGGTCACTCAGTGAGTCAATCCCAGCCCACTGACCCAGCCTGGTCTCATCCCTCCGGCCCCTCACCCCGGGCGGCGTGAGCCAAAGCCCTCTGTCACCCAGGGGACTTAGGTTTCCCACATGCAGGACTGTTGCCCATCTTTTAAAATCAAGCATCCTCAAGCCCCGTTTTATTAAAATGTCTGAAGCGATTATCAGACGCAGGAACGCTATATAGAGCAGCTTACATAAGGGCACCATGATATAATGCTTAACAGATGGTAAATTACCGCTGCACAAGCATATTACTCGAGGTGCACAGATCTTGTCACAACAATATGTTTGCTAGTTTAATACACGATTTTAATATAAATATCAAGTATGCCATAAAGCGCCTTACACATGTAATGTGAAAAGGCATTTGTAAGCAGCTCTGGAAATTATAAAAACCGAACAGAGCCATGGTGGAAAAGATTGAGTCTCTGAGAACAAGAAGATCAAAACACCAGCTCTCAGCCCTGTTGAGTATTGCCCAGGTTTCTGAAAAATGGGCTTTTATAGTATTTTTGAAGTGTGTGTTATTAATAGCAATTATAATTTTCACAGGCAGGTCTGAGTTATACAATGTCAGTAAAGTTAAAAACCCAGGAGTGAATGGGTTGGTGGTCATTTGCAACAGCATAATGTCATGAGCTCTGTGCCATTTGAAAACCATCCTTCCTTCAGAAGAAAAGCAGTCTGAAAAGCAAATATAACCCTCTCTTCCCCACCTGGAAGAGGCCCCAGCTCTGCCTCACTTCAGCATCCCTAAACAAGGAGCTAGAGACCAGCCTCTGCCTACCCGGAGGGAGGATGCTCGTGTGCATCTCCAAAGGTGTGTGCCGGGGGGGTGACGGCTCCTAACCCCGCAGGGAAGGCTCCCACCTCCTCCTGCCTCCCAGCCTGCTCTCACCAAGTCCCTCTGCCATCATCTTCCTCCCTAACCAACCCGGCACAACCTCAATCACACAGAGACCGGCAATGCCTGTGTCTCAGAGCCAACTTACCTTTGACTCGGGGAAAGTTTCCTTAAAGAAAGTTGGCAGCCAGGAAAGGAGAGTGAAGAATGTGCTGGCCGTACAAAGCTGAGCGATGATGACAGCCCTGAAAATACACAGCGGGGAGGAAATAATCAGGAGTGACAAGTCAGGCTGGGTGGGAAACGGGCACTCAACAACCCAATATTTCAGTTCCTGGTCTATAAATAAATCCCTCGCAGTGCTGCAATTGCTTCCTGAGATTTTTTTTTCGGAGATAACTACTCCTTTTGGGTTGCCACTCACAGCACTGCTCGCTCCTTCACTGCCCTCCCTGCACGGGCGCCCGACGTCAGCCCTGGGTTCAGGCGAGGTTTAATTGCGGCGGCAATCATGCGAGTGCGTTTCCCAGCAGTCCCACGAGTGCTGCAGGAGCTGTCCTGCTCCAAGAGGTGTTGCTTGGGGTTTTCCAGGGGTTTCTTATCAGTAGATGTTCCATGGTATGTAATGTGAAAAGGCATTTGTAAGCAGCTCTGGAAATTATAAAAACCGAACAGAGCCATGGTGGAAAAGATTGAGTCTCTGAGAACAAGAAGATCAAAACACCAGCTCTCAGCCCTGTTGAGTATTGCCCAGGTTTCTGAAAAATGGGCTTTTATAGTATTTTTGAAGTGTGTGTTATTAATAGCAATTATAATTTTCACAGGCAGGTCTGAGTTATACAATGTCAGTAAAGTTAAAAACCCAGGAGTGAATGGGTTGGTGGTCATTTGCAACAGCATAATGTCATGAGCTCTGTGCCATTTGAAAACCATCCTTCCTTCAGAAGAAAAGCAGTCTGAAAAGCAAATATAACCCTCTCTTCCCCACCTGGAAGAGGCCCCAGCTCTGCCTCACTTCAGCATCCCTAAACAAGGAGCTAGAGACCAGCCTCTGCCTACCCGGAGGGAGGATGCTCGTGTGCATCTCCAAAGGTGTGTGCCGGGGGGGTGACGGCTCCTAACCCCGCAGGGAAGGCTCCCACCTCCTCCTGCCTCCCAGCCTGCTCTCACCAAGTCCCTCTGCCATCATCTTCCTCCCTAACCAACCCGGCACAACCTCAATCACACAGAGACCGGCAATGCCTGTGTCTCAGAGCCAACTTACCTTTGACTCGGGGAAAGTTTCCTTAAAGAAAGTTGGCAGCCAGGAAAGGAGAGTGAAGAATGTGCTGGCCGTACAAAGCTGAGCGATGATGACAGCCCTGAAAATACACAGCGGGGAGGAAATAATCAGGAGTGACAAGTCAGGCTGGGTGGGAAACGGGCACTCAACAACCCAATATTTCAGTTCCTGGTCTATAAATAAATCCCTCGCAGTGCTGCAATTGCTTCCTGAGATTTTTTTTTCGGAGATAACTACTCCTTTTGGGTTGCCACTCACAGCACTGCTCGCTCCTTCACTGCCCTCCCTGCACGGGCGCCCGACGTCAGCCCTGGGTTCAGGCGAGGTTTAATTGCGGCGGCAATCATGCGAGTGCGTTTCCCAGCAGTCCCACGAGTGCTGCAGGAGCTGTCCTGCTCCAAGAGGTGTTGCTTGGGGTTTTCCAGGGGTTTCTTATCAGTAGATGTTCCATGGTTCACAGAATCACAGAATCACAGAACCCTCCTGTGGAAGCAGGGTCACCTACAGCAGGCTGCACAGGATGCTTGTCCAGGTTATTCAAGGCAGGAATGGGCTTGCTGCCCCGCAGCCCCATCGCCCTCCTCCCCATCTTTAAATGGCACTTGGGAACATGCTTGGATGAGCTTCAGTACCAAATGCAGAATCCCAAAGAAAAAATGGCTGTTAAAAAGACGTTTTGCCAGCGATGAGAACACAGCCTGTGCCACCCAGTGCCCCTGAGCAGCTCGTCTTAGGAGCCCATTACGAGCAGCATTTCTAACAAGACCAGTGGAGAACACCACGCTGGAGGAGCACACGGCCCACACAGGGCACAAACTGCAAAGGAGGAAGATTTGCCAGTAATATTCAAGCCTGACATTCCCCCGGACAGAACATAAACCACCTTTTGTCAAGCTTACCCTTTTAGTTTATACAGAAGGGATTAGAAAACCTGGTAATATTTCCCAAATACATGAAGAAGTGGACAAAACACACACACAGGCAGAATAAATAAGCACAGAGAGGAGAAAAAGTGCTTGGAAGGAGGGTGCTCCCCCAGCCCTGCCGGTGCTCGCACCCGCCGCGGCTGCCTACCATATTGGCGCCTTCTTAAACAGCTGCTTCCAGGGAACTTTGGTCTGCTTGGATATCGAGAGGCCTCTCATTAAATAATCTATGGGGATGATGAGTTCTGCAGGGAAGAAAACATGCAGACGAAAGCTCTGATCAGTAATTTTCTGTGCAGCTGGAGGGAGCCCTGGGAGACCGCTACACAACTAACTTCAAACTCTTTCTAACCCTTTTTTTGGCAATACCAACATTGGATGCTCATGAAAACAGGTTGACCAAAATTTCTCTGCTGCATCCACACACTTCCCCATCCAGCCACTTTCACCCATGTGTTGTACCTTTTGGTACCATTAAACAGAAATCTCTTTGGGCAAGGACCAAGGCTGGATTTTGTGCAGCGCCAGGCACGCAGCAGGGTCCTGATGGGCTGAGCTCCTGCACACCACACTCACGCTAATAAAGCCATAGCCAGGTGTAATGGTTTCCCCACGTGTGGAATTACTCCCAGACAGTTATTTGGGAAGAGATATTCCGGATTAACTGGTTTTTAAAAGCTTTATGTGTAGATGCTCTTAGTTGGGAATAAGTATCTTGCCCTGCTTTAGCTTAATCCACTTTGAAGATCACGCTCTGTTTGGTGCTTTCACTGGTGCTTAAGAGTGCCAAGGAGTCAGATCAGGCTCTCGACAGCAATATAATCCAGCGAGGGACTTGGAATAGGAAATCAGCAATGCAAGAGCTCAAAACCTCATTTCTGGATTTAGCACCTTGGGTGAGACACAGCGTGTTGTTATAGAAGATATTGGAACAGAAGTCTTTGTGTAAAACCAGGCGTGATCTTGGAAACTCAGAGGATTTGCAGAAACCACCCAGCACAGGACAGCACTCGGGTCCCGCAGGTCGGGAGCGCCGGCAGCCCCAGGAACGCAGGCGGCTGCACTCACCTTTCTCACTCAGGAGGTACTTGCAGGTGCAGTAAACCCACAGCAAACTGAGCAAACCGGAGAAGTAGAAAACGCTCTCCCAGCCATACCAGTCCAGAAGGAGAGATCCCACACCGCCGATCACCAGCGTCCTGCAAGGGAAGCCACACTCGGGTTTCCAGCTCTGGCCAGGAGCCCTCGGGCTGTGGGCATCCATGGGAGATGCTTCCCGGGGTGGACGCTGCGGGCCACTAAATGCACTTAAAATTGGCATCAGTGGCTGCGTGTGTAGGCACTGCCCGCCTGCCTGGTCACCCTGTGACTCCACAGCCTGCCCCGTTCCCTGCGTGGCATCTTGGGATCCTCAGCCAGGCAGGAGAAACTGCTCAGGGACATCGCGCTCGCCCACCCCGCACCGAAACACGCTCTGCGGGGAAAGAAAAGGAGATTGCTGGTGTGCAGAAAGTATCTCAGAGAATGTATAAATCAGCAAAAGAAATGGGTACACTGGAAGACTAAGTGATTAAATGCAGTAATATTTCTATTTGGCTTTTAAGCAAGCCTTCCATTTAGAAAGGAAATTCTCATGGAGATTAGCAGCGATGGGGAAGTTATATTATCCCCATCTATCAGGGAGGACAGGTGACCAGTCTCGGGCTGATCCTTGCTCTTCCTACTGAATCAGGCTGTTTCCCATAGTAATTAAATGTTGCAAACACTCCTCAAAGTCTGGCTTGAACAGCAAGAAAAAACAAAAATACATAAATCCTTGACGTGCATGACAGCAACTGCCTGAGGCTTCCTCAGCTGCAGCTGGTACCCTCGAGGACCCAGGAATCCACACGTACTTTGGGCTGCAAGTTTTGCCTCCAACTATTTAACGGCATCTCGTTACGTACGATGTCCAGAGACTGTCACTCGCTGCTCGAAGCCTTCTGAACTTACCCAAACTGTGAGCCAGTCCCCACTGTGCTGTAGGTGAAGGCTCGCTCGCTCTCCCGGACCCTCTGGGACAGCAGGCTGGCCAGGGATGGGAAATACACCCCTGTGACAACGGGAGCAAGGCAGGGAGCATCAGGCTCCTCTGCCCTCAAGAGCAAAGCGAAAGCAAATTAAAAAATCCAGCTGGAGCCAAACACGGAGACAAAGCAACAAGGCCTTTGGTGAATTCCAAACAGGGATATAAAATAAAATACGTGAATCCATCGCCATCAAAGGTTTGTTTGTGCCTCCTCCGTAATCCCCTGCTCCATCATCACCACCGCTACTGGAAATCCGCCAGTGCCAATGGACTGCTCCCAACAGTCCCCCAGCTCGGCGAGAGGGAAGGAAAATCATCCCAAATTATCCAAAAGCTTTGGCAGGGACAAATTTCCCCCAAGTGCTTTGAAAGAGTTTTAAAATGCGGATAACCAAACAGGAGCATTGAGGAGTGCTGAAGCCAGCAGCCCTTGTCTGGCAGAGACGTTTCTGCAGGGCAATAATTTGTCAGCGGCTTTATCTAGAAATGTCACTTTTTTTTTTTCCCGCAGAAGTTCCGCGTGTGGAGGCAGTTTTGAGGCAAAGCATTGCTTGAACGCGCAGGAGAAGGGTTCATGCACTGCAAACCATGAAATTTGCATCTGAATTTACTGCACACGAGCCCCCGTGCAGGGCAGCCCCTGGGCAGACGGCCACGTGCCCAGGGTGGGGGTCTCACCTTGCAGCAGCCCCATGAGGAACCTGGAGGAGGTCATGAAAACGAGATGGGCAGACGTGACGTGGGTGAGCAGCGGGGTGAGGACCGTGAGGAACCCCCAGGCCGATGCCGACAGGAGGAGGACCTTCTCACCTCCTATTCTGGAAGACAGAAAACACGTTACCAAAAACAAGCAGAGGGCAAGAGGGCAAAGCCCCCCAGCCAAGGCTCAAGCGCTCTTCCCGGTTCAGCCTGTTTTTAAGAACAACCTTTCGGTCAAACCTGTTCCCCGCTTACAAATGTCGTTAGCCCTTTGGGGAGTGGGACCAGCAGCTCTGAGCCCCTGGCAGCAGGACACCGGCCGGCAGCGCTGCCCGTCCAGCCCCAGCACACCGCAGCGCCCAAGTCTGACGGAGGGGAAGCCCAAGATGCTGTCACTGTTCTGCTTTTCTTAACCAGTGATGGTGTTTTCTCTTCCATCTGCTCTTTCGCATCAGCTCTGCCTGTTTTTTTTGCAGGCACTTGTTTGCACACTATTAAGGAGCATAATTAAATTGCATAGTGCACTGCATGGACAATGTGCTCCCTCCAGGCACGTGTTCCTCACAAAAGATTTTGTAGGAAAGCTCTCCTCGCCAAGCAGAGGGTGGCTGGGGAAAGGAACTCGAGCAGGCAGTTACTTCGATCTTTCCTCACAGCTAACTGGGGCAGTTGCTTTTTAATTGATATGATAAAATGGAGACCCTTGGTTTTCCCAAACACGATGGAAAACCTGATGGGGGCTTGCTGGTGAACAGACTGCATGAGAACACAGGGTGGAAAAACCGGAGGTGCTGAACTGAAAACGAAGACAGACTATGCAGATCAGATAGACAGAAAAAAAAACCTGTGCTCCTTGCAAAAAGGAAATGTTTTCTTTCTGTGGTTAGTGACTGCAGCTCTAAACCCTTCCAAATGGCCGTCCGGCACCACTGGATTACGCTGTTCGTTAGCGGACAAACAACACTGCCGGTGAGCGGCAGCCCTGAACTACGCAAAGAGCATCAGCATTTATCACTTCTCTAAAATAAAGTCTGCTTTACACCCACTATGTCTTTCATCAGCTTAACATGTAAGCTTGTGGGTTTGTTTTTTTTTATTCCAGTTACTGAACCAGTGCTAAAAACAACCTCCATCAGAAAAATTACGCTGGTATAAAAGTGCTCTTCGCTGTTTCCAGGTGAAAAACCCCCTGTGTTGGTCTGAATGCCCGTCAGCCCGACCGTAGATCTCCCCCGGCAGCTGCTCTGCAGGAACTCTTGAGCGTTCCCTGGGGAATTTGCCTGCGCAAAGTTCTTCAGCCCTGCTGCCCTACAAGCAGAGCAGCAGTTCTAAGACCCAGAGACCTAATCGGACCATCAAAACCACGCGTGCCCTTTCTGAATCAGAGCTACAGACCCCAAATGAAGCTGAGGGACACACCTCAGCTGCTTTCAGAGCAACCTGCGGTGCCCCATAAATCCTCTCCCACAGCCAAGCTTCACCCTCCCACCCCATCACTGTCCCAGGGTGAAAATTTCACAGCTGCTGCTGAGACTTCAAAACCAAACTAAGGGTCATCAAAAATGCCTGAGCAGAGGGAAAGATGAGAATAATTTCCAGTACTGATCACTGATATGTCCTCCAATAATCTGTGTCAAGCAGTAGCCCCAGAAGAAGCTGCTGAGCACAACGCCGGACTGCTTCTTGTCCCAGTCGAAGTGGGTGCTGAGGGCGACGGCGCAGATGGGCACGGTGACGCGGGCGCAGTACAGCAGGCACGTCCCCAGCAGCAGCATCACCGTCCAGACGCGGGACTCGGGCCTGCAAGGATGGGGAGGAAAATGAGGAAGGGGTAGATGGAATGGTCTGCCCGGTAGGTCCAGCTGCAGCGAGGACTTCTGGGGCAGGCTGGCTTGCTGGCAAGCCCTAACGAGTCTGCCTGGATAAAATACAGGCGAGTGCAATCCCCCTGCGGCACGGTGGTTCTGACACAGAGCGTGTTGCATCTGGTGACGTCTGTAAATGATGCTAACTGTCATCCCAAGCATTATTTTGACCCCAGCAGCAAAATGTCTGCCCATAATCTGCAAGGTGGAACGGGCTCCTTGGGCATCGCTGACTGCAGATCCAGGGAAAGGCAGGGGCGAACCTGGTTTGTCTGCTTTTTTACCCCTGAAGTAAAAGCTTTAGAAACTGTTCTTTAAAAGATAAGGGGCAGGTGGCCTGTGTGCCACCCTTCCTAAATGGGAGGGAGACGGAGGAATGCAAGACATGATGGGGCTGAAGAGCCCGGAGAGAGGAGCACGGTAATCCAGCCTGGCCTGAGACGAAGTTGAAGATAATATGAGTAATAATATGTTAACAGAATATATTTTTGGTACGTGAGTACTCAGGCCCTCTGCACCCCCCAGCGTCAGCCTGGGTCCCCCCTTGCCCGTGAATTACAGAGTTAAAAGCTTAGTGAGAACACCCGCTATTTGTATTATTTGTATTTAGTTATTTTTATGGCCGGAGCACAAAGCACTGAGCAAACAGACTCTCTCTGCTCCAGAGACGACTGGAATTCACTGTACTGGGGCATTAACCTCCGTGCTTTCCACCCTACTAAACACAGCCACCTCCTGCGCGGGAAACAACCTGGGTCACTCTTGATATTGAAAGGAGCATTTATTTCTCTGTGCTGGAATTGTGATAGACGCAGGTCAATCCCACACAGCCCGAACCCATTTATAAACGTGTCGAACGGCCCGTGGCGGGGGGAGGCGAAGGAACAACAAGCAGTGAAATACGCCGGGCAGTCGTCCCCGCTGGAGGCGAACCGGGTGCCGTTTCCCGACGAGGCAGATAAGCCGCTCGGTGCCAACCTCTGGCAGGAGGAACTGGAAGCGTTTCAGTCGGTGCTTTCAAGGTTGGAACCGTCTTTACTGTGCGCACGTACAAAATAACACGGGAACTAGAAAACCTCACAGCTGGAGGAATAAATAACCAGGGGTTGACCGGCCTCAGCCATTTGAGCTGGCTGATAAATGCTGTCCAAGTCCCTCCCGGTCTTACGCCGAGAGGAAGATAAGCAGCAATCATACCTTAATTTGCTGCAAAACCAAGAGTGATTTGGTTTTTCAACCACCTGCCGCAGCCAGCAGCGGCTCAGACCAACCCCAGCGGGATGCTACTTTTTCCCCAGGAGGCAGAGGGCAGCGGGGGGGTGACCGGTGACGGAAAACACTACGGAGAGCCCTCGGAGGAGTGTTTCAAGTTAATCTCAGAGGAGTGTTTCAAGTTAATCTCGGAGGAGTGTTTCAAGTTAATCCGGGACCAGATGCCTGCAGGTATAAGCAGCCGACCCGTGCCTGCCTAACCAGTGCTTCTGCCCCCGCAGAAAGGGGCTGTTGCCAGTCCGGGGCCATAATCTCTCCCGTTCTCGGCAGCGGCACGACGCCGATTAATTTGAGCTACTGAACCTGCAGCAATTGAGGTGACCAAGGAAAACGCAGCAGCCTGCCATGTGCATAGGTATTTCCTATTATTTAGCCACTGAGACAGTTTTCTAAATTGTGCTTTTCCCCCTGAAGCAAAGGGAGACCTTTACGAGGTTTCTCGCTGTCTGGAGCGGGGCTGAGCTCGGCCCCCTCTCCCAGCAGTTATTCTGATGAGCACAGCAGCATTTTAATGGGATATTGAATCAACAGCTCTTCCTTGGCCCTGAAGCCTATACAGATGTGCAAGGTGTAAGATGGAGAGAAAAAGTCCTGTGCAGCTTAACCAGAATTTACTCCACTTCTCTTTACCATATTGCCCAGGTCTGTTCCCTCCGGCGGGTGTTTGCAGCTTGGAAAAGCAAAACCCACACTCAGCAATGCTGGTGCCCGAGGTGCGGGCGGGGGGACGATGGTTCGGTGCTAACGGATTGAACCCAAAAAAGCAATGAGCAGGCTGCAGAGCGGCTCCGGCGTTGGGGCGGAGGGCCGGGAGGGGATAGGGCTACGAAGATGATGAGGGGACTGGAGCATCTCTCTTCAGCGGAGAG